CACAATCTTGTTCATCATCTTGACATATCTTGCCATATCTTGCCATATCTTGCCATCATCCTCGATCACTGTCATAGTCTGTCAAGTCACCCCCTGACGTCTTTCATGATCTTTCATGTCATCACTGTCATTTGCTGAACGTATTGTCTTGCAGGGTTGAAGGGGTGGTTAATTTTAAACATGGCTCAAAATGCCACCTTTGTTCATTTGTTCAACAGAAGCTTTGTAGGTGCGGGCGTGGGTGAAAACAGCAAAATTGATTCAACATGTCAAACTTGTTCATATATTCAACGTACTGTTTTGTAGGGGTGGGGAGCAGTTGAAATTGTTTGTTTCAGCGCTTTCCTTTTCCTCTCAACGTATTGATCTCTCTCTCTCTCTGCCTATTCATCTGAACCTTGTCCTTTTCATGTCAGCGATTTCCTTACATGTCAGCTCTCCTCGTTATTTCAGTTCCTTCCTTTTTGCGTCAACCCTCTTCTTTCTGCTTCAACCCTGTCCTTTCATTTCAACCCTGTCCTTTCGTTTCAACCCTGTCTTTGTGTCTTCAAATCTTTCCTATTTCGTTTCAACCCTATCCTATCGTTTCAACCCTTTCCTATTCGTTTCGACTTTTGCGCCCATTTCCTTGGTTTCATGGAAGGGACAGAGTGTTGAAGCGTAGCGACAAGTGGGAACGTTGAAGAACAAGAGTGTATAGTCAAGTGTAAGATGTTGAAGGGCAGCATGAAGCGCCAGTGAATTAGCAGGTGAAAGATGTTGAAGCTTAGCATCAAGATGCATCAAGTGCATATGCAAGTGCTGTGCTCCACTGTGCTCGGCTGTGCTTGGCTGTGCTCGGCTGTGCTCGGCTGTGCTCGGCTGGTCGGCTGTGCTCGGCTGGTCGGCTGTGCTCGGCCTGTACCCAGCTGATCTCGGTACTCGGCTGTACTCGGCTGTACTCGGCTGTACTCGGCTGTACTCGGCTGGTCGGCTGTAGTCGGCTGTAGTCGGCTGCGCTCGACCGTGTGAAATTCCTAGACCCTCTCTCCTGGCACAATGCAATATCTTGCTGAACCTACTGCTGCTACTCTAAAAGGATGTGGATATGCATTACAACCAAAACCTCGAGAAAACAAGAAAAACAAGACTTTTCAGAGAATGTTTGGTCTGAAGCTCATGTATTCTTTTGTTTTTTCTCAGTTTATTTTTGTGGTTTTGACATCAAAAAAACAAAAAATGCGGCTGGACTTCTTTAAAGGATGTATTGCATCTGTCCACATATTGTATTTTTCTGCAAGAATTCTGCTACTTATTTTAAGGGGATACCTGGTCTTCAAGGCAATTACTCTATTTTGAAGAAGTTCAGTCGTTCCTTAAACAATGGTCATACAAGAAAAATGAGAGAAAGGCTGAGCTCCATTAAAGGATGTAGTTCATCTTTCCACACTTATAGTTTTCTTGCAAGAAAATTTGTTCTTATTTAAGGGGAGATCTTGTCTTCAAGGCAGATTGTAATCTGTAAGCAGCACTTTCTTTTAACAACAAATTTTCTTTTTCAAGGAATGCTGCAATGTGGATCGACCATTGCACTTTTTCAAAGCAATGCTGAATGTCAATCGCACACTGCATATTATGTAGGAATCTGGTGTTTTGAAAGAAATACTGTATCATTGAACGAATGCTAAATAGTTTTCTGAAAGGAAGACTGCACTTCTCCAGAAAGGAACACCGCATGTTCTAGCTGTTATGTGTTATCTTTGTTGCATTTTTCATCTCAAAAGGTGTGTCTTGGGCTGTTAACTAACGGTTAGCATGTATACATCATATATCAACATATCAAATAAATTCTAGCAGAACTCCCAAAACGACTCTCACTTGAATGTTCCCGAATGTTGGGTCCTGGATGCTGGAGAGGCGCCGGCTGTGCCATTGAAATAGCCAAACCAGCCATTGGACCTGTCTTGCCCTTTGGGACTTGTGTTTGAATACGACGGTGGTGGCCCATACTCCGAGTGGGACATCGGACTTTCGCCATTCGGGCCATTCGGGCCATTCGGGCCATTCGGGCCGCGGCTTGGGCTGTTGCCACTTGGGCCCTGCATGTAAGTTCCATCCTGCGAGTGGTAACTTCCATAACTTCCATCGTAGGCACCGCTGGGACTTCCTGGTCTTTCAGAGGAACGCCTCATGTTTGTAGCTCGCTTTTTGGATTCAGACAGCCAGATCTGGTAGACCTCCTGATCAATAATGTCGGCAAGCCGGTCCACGATGTTGTTTCCACGTTGGCTCCACGACAGCATCTCATCACTGGAGATATCAGCTGCATGGTCCATGTCCATGTCATAGTAGATATCGTCCACGGCCTAAGATGTGATATCGGTGAAGGGATCTCCAGAGATCTCCAGAGCTGGTTCAAGTCCAAGCTTTGAAGGGCTATGGCTCTCAGTAGAATGATTTTTTACAATCAGAAGCGTTCTCTTGTCAATGCCTTCAAAAACCAACAAAAATGAGTTCTAACCACAGTATTACTTTTACTCTGGAAGGATAGGAACAATCGCACTCTCTTATTGACCTCAAGGTGATGTGGCATCATTTGGCTGTCTTGCCTGCTAGAATCTTAAACTTAAATTGATAAGTGACATCGAGATACATCAAACATTAAATGACCAGATGAAAGGATCCCCCAGGTTCAACTCCAGTTGCGCCTTCTTCTCAAGAAGTGGCCGGAGAGCAGCCGCTTCTGGTGGAGACATAGCCTTCACGAAAGGTGAGAGGTAGACCTGAACAAGCTCCCGGCTGTCGCTTGCAGGAGATTGTGTGAAAAGTATAGGCACGCCATCCAGAAAAAGGATGTCCAGTCAGATGGTTCGCAGAAACATCGCTACAAAGTGCTGAACGCCCAGCCTGCAGCTCTGATTTGGATATGGCCCCATCACCATTTGCATCCAGGCAATCTTAGTTGTGTATTCGTAGGAAGCAGATGGAAGCAGCTCAGAGTCGAATCACAATCCGACAAACACTTCATGCAAGACAAGTTGCCAAAGACAGCGCGTACAGCCTGCCAAGGAAATGCATGAACATGCATGAGCCTCCTCTGAAGTTGCAGAGATGTTGCAAAAATGTACCAGCACGGACCGCCAAAGTGGCAAGTGGCTCACCGAACTCACAACATAAGGACTCTGCAGTCAAGAACAGCACCAAGCCCCCTGACCACCCCAACTATCCACAACAGAACCTGCGTCCAACTTGTACCCAACATCCAGAGAGTTCCGCAAAAAGTCAACATCTATGATTGCTCTGGTGTCCACTATCTCGAGAAATCAGCTTTCATGCTCATGTCGCCTCCGCCATTGAGCCTTTGAAGTAAACGGAAAGGCCAGCAGCCCATTCTCCTGTTGAAAGTGTTCCATTCCTTGGTAGCTTGCGTTCTGAGGTCCGGCTCGGTGACTGCTGGTACGTTCCATTGGTTTACAGATTCGTCATCTAATTCATGGTTGGTTTGAATGATAATCTATTGTACCATCATGTCAATGTTCTCGGAAATGCTTTAGGAAAGTTGAGAGTTCTGTTGGAGAATTCTGTTGGAGAATTCTGGAGTTTGACACCGCAAGCTGAATTTTCAGCACGGTTGAATCAAAAGACTGGCACTCCATCCAAGCACTCGACTCAGGAGGCAATCCGTCAGTACAAAATACCACTGGCTTCAAATGTGGCCATGTGAACTCCAAAGCTACTTCCATGAAGGACTGCTTTGCAAGTAATATTGCTCGAAACAGTGCGACGGTGTTGCTGGACTTGAGCAATCGCATAATCACATGTGTATGGCTGAGATTTAAAGGGTCACCAAATGTGGCTGAAACATACCTTCATAAGCGCCATCTTGGCAATCACAATCTGTTGTTCCGATTTCCATTCATAGTTTATTGTCAAGATCCAGTTCTTCTAGTTTCAATTTACATGGTTCTTGCTGCATCTGCGGCGTGTCTTGCTGAGCCCCCCATGTCCCCATGAAACGCAAAGTCTGCTGCCAAGGATTCCCGTCAAAGTCCATGGAGTCAAAGACATTGTACAAGTCTTCCCGCTCCCTGGGGTTGTGGGGTATATCCAAATGGCCTGTCGAAGCTGCCAGCAACTCCAGCAACAGAGAAATCCACATCCTGTCAGATCTGTCAGCAAGCAATCCCGGCCTAAAAGCATGATGATCATTTCCTGAGGCCAAAATCATTCTCTGCAAGTCCAGAAAAGAAGCCGCAGTTATTCGCAATTAAGGCGCGCTCACAATCAAAGATTGTTGTGCATGATCATGAATGATCATGAATGATCACAAACTACCACAAATCAACGACATCGAGTGAGACGATAGATGAGAAACTAAAAATAACATGATAAACAATGATTATAGAATATACGAGATGATTACATACCGCTGCTGGTCTGCCTCCAAGTCTCCACAAAATGCTCCCTCTGCAACTCCGCCGCTGGCCTGATCCAGCTACCACCAACTTTGTCACGAAAGTACTTCAGACCTTCCTGAGTTAAGAGAGCGGACTCATAGAATGCATTGGTTTGGTGAAATCTATATACGCAATGTATGCATTAGTCCATAACCCTTAAATTCATAAAGCAGCGGCAAACACGATGAAAGTGAAATCCATTTTTTTGGCGTCCCCGGCCATCCAAACCCATTTTTGAAATCGGCTGGACATGGGAAAATATGGGCTCAGTGATGGGTTAGTACGGGACTGGGAAAAGCAGGTTTTCATGGAAACCTGGAGTTGTGGGCAAAAGGCACGGGTTGATATGGGTTGATATGGGTTCAAAATGGGTGGAATTCGGGTGCAAGAAAAAAGTAAAAACCAAAGAAAACGGATGTTTCTCAAGCTTAGTTCAAAACCCGAGGGTTTCGGGAGAAACACCATATTCTTGTGCTGACAATTTGGGTTTACGCGGGATTTGACTCAACCCTTCAAGTCTAAGGGGATTATATATATATATTATATTATATTCACCCCGCTTCGCGTGGGGTGGCCGCCCACACCGCAGGTTTATTTCGGTCCGTGAGAGGGGCTAAGGGTGGTTTTCCCCGTGGGGGCTCCCCAAGCTAAGAATTTTCACTCCCCCCCCCCGTGGGGGCTCCCCAAGCTAGGGAATTTTCACTTTTCCCCCCCCGTGGGGGCTCCCCAAGCTAGGGAATTTTCACTTTTCCCCCCCGTGGGGGCTCCCCAAGCTAGGGAATTTTCACTTTTCCCCCCGTGGGGGCTCCCCAAGCTAGGGAATTTTCACTTTTCCCCCCCGTGGGGGCTCCCCAAGCTAGGGAATTTTCACTTTTCCCCCCCGTGGGGGCTCCCAAGCTAGGGAATTTTCACTTTTCCCCGCCGTGACAGCTTCCCAAGCTATGGAATTTTCACTTTTCCCTCCCTTGGAGGCTCTCCAAGCTGCGGAATTTCAAATAGCTAGACAACGACGCCTAGATAGTCCCCCAAATCCCGTGTTCTTTGAATGTGTTTCCATGTTTTTGCAATGGTTTCCTTCAAAGCACGGTACTTTACACTTTTGTCGCCATAAAACCGGTCGAAAACATCATGTTCGACAATGCTTCCAATTCCCTTATCTCCCCAACCGTTGAAAATACCGCTATTTACAGTGTTTTCTTCAATTTTTCCATGTTCCAATGCCGGTAGCCAACTCCAACATATATATAAGAAATCCTTCCAAAACATTGTTTTTGACAGTGTTTTTCCAATGTTTCCAGTCAAACAGACGGTAATTTACACGTTTTTTGCCATAAAGGCAGTAAATCCTTCCAAAACATTGCTTTTGACAGTGTTTTTGTAATGTTTCCAGTCAAGCATACGGTAATTTACACGTTTTTTGCTATAACGTCAGTCCAAAACACTTGTTTTTGCAGTGTTTTCAATGCTCTGGCATCCAAAAACCCTGCAAAATCTTGCTATGTACAATGTTTTTTTCATTTTTGGCCGTTTTTCCATTGCCGGAAAGCTACCAAAATGACCCAAAATTCCATTTCAATACCCTCTTGCGCTCAGACACCCAAAAATCCTCGAAAAATGTCGAAAACACCACCGTATTCTGGTCTCGGTGCGAAACCGTTTTTGGCCCCCCCCCAGCTAAAGCTGATATAGCGACTGCTATATTAACAAATGTCATTGAGCATTTAGTGTTGCTGTTGCCCCCCAATAAGCACGCCTTCACCGCCAAAGCGGTGTGGGCGGATTTATATAGACGAAAAGGGTATGTTATGTCATCAGATATGAGTCTAAAGAGTACAGGATGCACACACGTCGAAAACGTAAATATACCTATTGTCTAGTCATCTATGTATATAATATGTGTATATGTATATCATATATAATCATATTATATAATATTATATAATATATATATAGGCTGATACTAGCCTGTATGTGATATCAATTGCTGTTGTTGCAATGACCCACATCATGATATTGACACGTCATTTGCTGCAGTGCAAGTAACTATGTACTACTAGTACATACTAACCATCTTGTTGGAATGATTGGATGGTACAGGGAGTTCTAGCATACCGCAACAGAATTGTATTGTGACGACACAGCTTCCTTGAAACCGTAAAATCCTATGTACCTTGACCGTAGACCTTAGAACTCTGCAGGTTCATTGGTCTGTGAGCAAAGTCGCGAAAAGATGTCGTGGGCGAATGGGGGTGTTTGTGCGTATTTGTACTACAATCTGTGAAAGACTAGGCAAACGTACCTCAAGCAAGCCCCGCTCTTCCATGCGTTCCGGCACTCTCACAAGATGTTTGACACGGGAATCAAACCCTAGTGACTAGTGGATAACAAATGAATCATCAAGCAATACTTCAGTCCAAGCTCTTTCACAGGCACTTTACGAAGAGGAGACTTCCGCGCGAGGTCTCCTTGCTTGTTCAGCCTGTCACGAATAAGGCTTCGAGCATTCCATGGCCTCGGAGAGTTCAAAACGACAACAGTGACAACGCACAAAGGATGTCCAATGCATGGCCAACTTGACCGTGGAAGCCATGCATTTAAAAGTAGACTGCGGGTCTGACTTGATGTCATACATGTTGATGACGGCCTGGCAATCAGTGTCACAAATTCCACACCTCGCCTATTTCCACATTCCCCAAAAATGGGACCGGAACTCAAGGAGTAACTCAGCTTATCTCAACTTTCTTTGAATGAGGTGTGGAGACGCATGCAGCAATGGAGTTCAATGGAGTTCAATTGGGTCAAAGCTCCCTGCCTTGGCACTTCCTTCGAAACCAAAAGCATCTGTGCAACCGCAGAAGTTAAAGAAATGTCCTGTCGCCTCAAAGCAGGAATTCGTTGATATCAATGTGCATTCTGCAAGGAGATCACAGCTACCAAAGGATCTGGCAGCAAAATGCATAAATCGATGAGACCAGACTGCTGGGGATCTCACATGGTGGTTCCCCATGATTTACACCGCTCACCGCTCAGACCGCTCAGGCAATCCGAATCCGTGCGAAATCAGAATTCAGAGCATCCGGTGCAAAATGTGATCCTTTGGTGCAAAATGTGGCTCCTTCTGAGTTGGCTTTGGCAATGCTAGCTTCATCACGCACTATCTGCATTAGAATCAGTCTTGTGCTTGAGCCACGGCCAAGATTCGTCGAAAGTGTCTAGTTATCCGCACAAACAGGATTGTTGCTGGCTGCTCTCTATTTGCAAATTGAATCAGAATCAAAACCTTTCTCTGGCAATGACATGTTGCTTCGACACATGAAGGTCTAGGTGACGCAAACAGTGCTAAGCCAGGTCCGCTTTTCACGATTCAAACGCATCTTCTCTCGTCTCTCTCGTCCACAAGTCGGTCGACAGATCCCGCGGGCGGATCTCAAACCAACCTTGCAGCACTGCAATATTTGCATGAGCGCCATAAGGAAAAAAACACGGTTGATACCTTGACATTTTAGACCTTTGGACGCAAAAAAAGTAAGTACAGAATTGTTGCCAATCTAGCCCTGGAGCTGTTTTTGCCCACACTGTCTGGATGCCTGGCAGCAAGCAGGTCCACTTCTTGTGCGCATTCCCCAAAAATCATAGTGCGTCACAGAAAGTTGGAAACATCACAACTAGGTTTGAATAGTTTGAATACCAACGTCTTGATCATATTGTTGCTGTCTAGATTGGTCTAGGCCATTGCAGCTGAAACTTCGATCTGATGTGCTGGCCTGAGAGACTCATCATGTAGGTACTGGACACGGAGGGTATTCCAAGAGCCCTGGCCAAGTGGAGCACAGCTGTCCTCAGCGAAACTTTAGCCATGTCAAGCCATAAGTCTGCCATGAGAGGTGCAGAATTTTGTGAATCAAATTCAAGCAAGGCATATAAATACAGATCTGATGACCAAGACACAGAAGCTTCAAAGCTCCAATGCCTGTGGGAGCATGGCCTTAGCTTAGTACTTCGATGGGTTCCAAAGTTGGCAAGTTTAGGGGTGGCTCGTGGTGACATCTTCAAGAAGGGTATCGATATCCAAGACCTCCTCAGAGTGTAGAGATATGCAGTCTCTCATTGCTGGCAAGAAGCTGGCAAGTTGAGTTTCCCTCCAGGATGAATGTGCCGGGTGGGCATGCCGTACAATCCTCGGTGTCAAATATCATACAATCATATTTATATGGTCCCGCCCGGCGCCCGGCAATTGTCCCGATGCTATCCCCCCCCCCAGCAACCACCCCCACGGGGGCAGCCAGCCATCTACCACCATCCGTCAAGATCTCATATGCTCATATGCTATACTTACGTGCTGGCTTCGTGCCACCTATGCACTACAAAACAGGATACCTCCATGCAGTGTTCACTACTGCCTATAATATGCCCATACAATCAATTTACAATGTATTACTGCCAATAAAGTACCTTTATAGTAGACATATACTAGCTACTATCAAGATCTCATGTGCTATACATACGTGCTGGCCACGTACTACCTATACACTACCTACATGATACCTCTATAACACCCCACCCATCCCACAGGGGGGGCGGGGGTAAAGTAGACCCTAGATGGATCATTTACATGCTGGCCACATACGACCTACTTACTGCCTTGCACACTCACACACCAGTTGTGCCAGTGACACACTACCACCCACCCCACAAAGTAGACCCTATATCGATCATTTATATGCTAGCGACATGTCAACTGTATCTGACACAAAGCCTCCAACATACAGCGTACATGCAGGACCATGACCATGAGGGGTGGGAGGGGGGTTTGCAGGGCTGAGCCATATATACATGGATATATATATATATATATATACGTGTATATATATATATATACGTGTAATTACGTGTGTGTATATATATATGTGGAGGGGACCTTTATGTATAGAATGACGGGGTTCTGGATCTCGCTTCTGAGGACCTCAATTACAATTCCATAAGAAAGGCTAGTCTAAAATCCGATCTCCATATTCATCTCCTTTTCAATGTTTCTATAAATTCATGGCTGCATTTCCTTTGGCTTTCCTTCAAGTGTGCTGTCTTATTTATCCTGGCCTTTGTAGATTTCCTTTCCGAAATCTAAATTCCTAATGAAATTGTCTTTTTCCGGTTCCTTCTGAAATTTGCTTGCAAATATCAATTTCCTTTTAATTTCCTTTTAAAGCTATTTCAAATGTTCGTTGGAATAATTCTATTTGGACACGGTTCAAAAACGAAAGCGGAATTATAAAGCATAGGGCGGGCCAAGGCATTTTGTCTCGCATGCAATGTAAAGTGTATGCTTTTCATTGCTTTTCTGCATGTGCCAATGTCTTCCCACCTCTTGGGATTCTCCACGCCTTTCCTCGCCGCTTCTCCACAGCTTCTTGCCCTCCCCCCTCTCCACCTACAAAGGAGAAAGACGAAGAAAGGGGGTGAAGCAGGTGGAAAGTTGTGGGTGGAAGGGTAGGTGGAAGGGGTGGATATGGTTGGAGAGGTTGGGTGAAGATGATGCTAGGGTGATGCGAGGGTGGAGCGAGGTTGGAGCGATGGTGGAATGAAGGGTGAGGTGTGGAGAAGGTGATCAAAAATTGATACCAAGTACAAGGATACATCGACTGTATTTATTCACATCCTTTGCGCGATCCACTCCTTGGGATTCTCTCCTTCCCTTTTCACTTTCCCGCGGCTTTTTCTCTTCTCTCCCCCTCTCCACCCTTCTACATGTCCATCTCCGCTCAATACCCTCATTCCTCTTTCCGAAAAGAATCTTCGGGGCAGAAAGTGTGGAGAGGAGTGAGCAGGGATGGAAAGCGGAGAGAATTAAATGAAGTTGGGGTGATGGGCGGGGTCACGATGAAGAGTTGGGCGGTGGGCGTAGCGAAAGGCAGATGGATGGAGAAAAAGAACATGTACATTAGATAGACGCAAGTAATTCATCCTGACTGCTTTCTTATCTAGCCGTTTCTTTTTTCAAAACTACTTTAAAGTTCAATTGTGATTGCCTTTTCCAGCTCCATCTTATATTGGCTTGCATAGATGAAAAAAATGTATGTCTACTTTCTTTTTTGGACATACTTTTCAATGTGCCTTGGAACAAATCTCTTAAGACATGATTCAAAAGCAGCAGTGCAAATACAAAGCATAGGGTGGACTAAGGCATTTTGCCTCTCAGGCAATGTAAAAGTGCATGCTTTTCATTGCTTTTTCTGTGGGGGAAGCGAGGGCGGAGCGGGGGTGGAGTGAAGGGTGGAGTGAAGGGTGGAGTGAAGGGTGGAGAAGGTCGCCAAAAATTGATACAAACGATGCATATTTATTTCGTTTTTTGCTTGATCCACTGCTTGTGCTTTTTCCCTTGCCTTTTCACTTCTCCGCAAACTTTTTCTCTTCCATCCCCCTCTCCACCCTTCTACATGTCCATCTCTGCCTCCACTCAACACCTTCATTCCTGTTCTGAAGATAAGGTGCTAGGGGACAAGGGGTGAAGAGGAGTGAGCATGCATGGAAAGCGGAGAGGGTTAAATGAAATTGAGGTGATGGGCAGGGTCGCGATGAAGGGTTGGGCGGTGGGGTGTGGTGAAAGGCAAATGGGTGGAGAGAAACAAAATACAACACATACATGAACAATTCATCCGGACTGCTCTTTTATCTATTTAGCAATTTCTTTCAAAACCTATGTGAATTTCAGTTGAAATTGTCTTGTCCAGCTCCATGTTCAATTTGCTGTCAAAGAACAGAACAAAATTGTCTTCTAGTTTCTCTTTAAATTTTCAATTTTCGTTGGAATAATTCTCTTTAGACATGATCCAAAATTGGCGGCCGCATTTTGAAAGGCAGAGGGTGGGGCCATGGTTTTTGCGCAGGCAATGTAATGTGGCAAAGAACTGCGCAGGCGATGTTACATGGCAAAGAACCTCATTTGGGGTTTTTCTATACAATCCAATTATAATGATTTTGGTGCTGGTTTCTTGTTGGGCTTACCACATTAAAGTGTGTGCTTTTCATTGCTTTTCTTTATGTGCCAATGCTTGTCTCATTGATACCTGTCCACTTGTGCTTTTCCTCTCTTTATCTGCGCTTTGCCTCGCCGCTTTTCCACAGCTTCTTGCCTTCCCCCCTCTCCACCTACAAAGAAGAAAGAAGCTGAAAATGAGGTGAAAAGGCCTAAACATGGGTAGGTGGTAAAGTGTGAATGGAAAGGGGGCGGATTGCGAGTGCAGGGGTTAGGAGATTGGTAGGAAGCGTGATGCCATGGTCCGGCCAGGATGGAGTGAGGGTGGAGCGAGGGTGAAGCAAAGATCGAGCAAGGGCAGCAAGGGCTCAATGAAGGGTGGAGAAGGTTGCACAAACTTGAAAACGATGCATATTTATTTACATTGCTTGCGTTCTTCACCGTTTTTTTGAATTCGCTACTCCTTGCCTTTTTCACTTCTCCACGGCTGCTTCTCTTCTCTCCTTCCGTTCCTGTTCAAGGAGAATGTTAGGGGCTGAAAGGATGGAGGAGTGAAAAGAGATGTAAAAACGGCGAGGGTTAAGTGAAGTTGGGGTGATGGACAGGGTTATAATGAAGGGTCGAGCAGAGAGATGAGGTGAAAGGAGAGGAAAATCTTCTTGCAAGTGCCAGTCAAACTTTTATCATTGTTCTGAGTTTCTATTTACCTTTGGAATATCTAGCCTAAAGATCCGATATCCTCATTCATAGCTTTCCTTCAAGTGTACTGTCATATCTTCATTCTGGCTGTGCCCTTATCTAGCCTTTGTACATGTCCTTTTCAAAAGTAGCTTAAATTTCAATTGAAATGATCTTTTCCGGTTCCTTCTGAAATTTGCTTGCACAGATCAATTGCCCTTTAAATTTCTCTTTGAAGCTATTTCCAACTTTCGTTGGAATAATTCTCTTTGGACACGATCCAAAAACAGCGGCGCCATTACAAAGCACAGGGCGGGCTAAGGCATGTTTGTCTCGCATGCAATGTAAAGTGTATGCTTTTCATTGCTTTCTGCATGTGCCAATGTTTTCCCACCTGTTGGGATTCTCTACGC